ATCTTGTTCACAATGCCCATTTTTCTCCCCATTACTTTCTAAAAATTCTTGATATTTTTTTAAAGAAAATGAATCCTATCATGCAATGCCCCCCAGCTACTGTCTTTGAAATGATGGACGATGCTTGCTGTCTTGTATATTTACTGTTATGGAATCAAATCTTTTCCGGGGCGCATTCTGTGTTTTACATCATTCTCAGAAGAATGCTGTGATGCGTATGGTTGTGATTATCAAAACAAAAGACCTCCATGTCTTCTGGTGGTAAGTTAATTGCTGGTCATTCCGGCCTCTCCCTGACTCACACCAACTGTGGATAAATCCATCTCCACAGTGGCAATTTTCATGGGAAGATTAGGAGTGACATTTGTCCCTCCTAAGGAAATGGCAAGGAATAAAGCATTAAAAAACTGAAATTCACTGTGCACAATAGTCCTCACCAGCAAGTGTACCCACAGTGGTTGCTGGGGTACAGCAGACTAGGGACAGGCTCACACCTGGGGCCAGGAAGCTGGCCCAGGCTGGAAGCTAATAAATAAGCTCATCTCATATGTTTGGCTTCAAAAAGAAAAATGTTCTCCAGCACCAGTAATTGATGGAGAAAATGAGCTTCTTTTCACAGTATTGATCCTGATTTCCTCCCAAAGCACTTTTTGAGAAAGGCAGTTAAGGGTGTGGATTAAATGGGCAGATAGAAAACGCCATCAACTAACAGACTCAGACTTTTTCTCAATGTTGAGATGCTGAGTCTCAGAAAAAAAAGAGAAGCCCGCTCCAATCCCTGACATAGCATTTTCACAGAATACATTCTAATGTTTAGCTCATGTATCCACCTTCTTGTAAAAATGACAGTGTCGGGCCGGGGATTTAGCTCAGTGGTTTCGCCGCCTGCTGCGCAAGGGCAAGGACCCAAGTTCGATCCCTGGTACCAAAAAAAAAAAAAAAAGTTAAAAAAAAAAAAATGACAGTGTCGTGAGGTCTAGGCCTCAGTTTCTTTTCATTGAGTGCCTCTGGGACCTCTGTCAATGTTCACTAATAAACAGCCTGTGTTAAACATCCCATCCTTCAAGCCAGTAATAATACTAACAACAACACAACCACAAACAACTATGTGTGCAAACACACATTGTGTGTACACTACATCAGTATCAAAACCCAAAGAATTAACTTCCCAGTTTTTCCCCTTAGGATCTTTATAAACTTCTTCCATATTTCATTGATTCTGTGGTACCTATTTTTTCATGTTTTAATATCTCTGATGTAGGAATGTCTCTTACAAATCTAATGGCGATGTGTTTATTGCTTTCTCACATGTAATGATGGCACATCTGACAATCAAGACGGGATCCAATGAAAGACAGTAATAAATCTTTTTTTTTTTCTTGGTACTGGGGATCGAACTCAGGACCCTGCGCTTGCAAGGCAGGCACCGGAACCACTGAGCTAAATCCCTGGCCCATACATCTTAATTATAATACCTACATATATCTGTGAGGAAGCTTGATAAATAAGCACAAATGTAAAACACCCAAATGGCGTGGAATACAACAGATGCTCAGCAAATGCTGGGTCACTTTCCCCTTAATGTGGATTTACGAGTGCATTTGTTCTGACACAGAAAACAGTGGCTAAAATTTGCCAGGCCCTACTCGACATCGAGCACAGAACTGGGTACTGACACCCATCTCTGCAGTTCTCATGACACCCTTCAAAACCCTGACAAAGAAACTGAGGCTTGGGAACATAAGGGGACGAGTCCAAGGTCACACCACGAGTGGCAAAAGCAAGATTCAATCTCAATCCACAGAGACAAAGTCAAATTCCAGAATCTGTCAGTGCCTTCCATTGGTTCTTGGAAAGTCAAAGTTGGAACTAGAGCACCTGACCTCAGGCGGGATATTAGAACCTTGTAATATTCCAGAACTGTCAGAGGTTTCTGAAAAGCTTGAGGAAAAGCAGAGGAACAGAAGATGTAAGGAAAACATGCTCTTTGCAGAGTCCAAAATTTAAGAAGCCCTTCACATGAAAAGGCAGATAAGGCTTCCTCGCAGAGCAAATGGGAAAACCTCAGGGAAAAAGACCACAGTATAGTCTTGGAAGAATCTACAGTCTGTTTTTTAATGACTTTCAAATGGACAAGTATGTATCTGTTCTAGTTTTCTGTGTATTTTTTGGGTGAGTCAAGCACTACTTCCTTTTGAAGCCATCCTGTAATTCTTCATGCACATTTTTGTTATTTGCTTGTTCCCTGAATTGTAATTATTTGCACATGTGTTTCCATTCTAGCCAATGAGCTGTTGAAAGGCAGGGATCACCTTTCTTCTTTACCTAGTCCTGGGCACACAGATAGGACTTGAGAAAACATTATTGTTGAATGAACCCTGGAATAGGACAATAAGTGGAACAGCCTGAAATGTCACCAGACATCTAATGACTATTCACAGACATAGCTGCTTTGTACACACCTACTACCTTTAACACGAATGTACCCAGGCCAGTGTGTGTCAGCACTGGTCCTCTTTTCCTCACCACCCCAAAAGCTCCCCAGAGTCCACAGTCACACCCTGCAAGGAAGGAACATGACCTTAAATGACCATGCTGCAGTGACAGCAGAGGGCAGGGCCAGATGCACTTTGAGCTACATCTTAGGGCTCTGGTCCTTAGGACTCAGGACAACTACCTCTGTCTCCTGAGAATGGCCAACTTGAAAACTAAAGACAAAAACAAGTTTCAACAGCCAAAGAGCCAATGGTCAAGTATACAGCTGGTATGTGCCTCGACACGCCCTCACTATGTTATATTTCTGAAAATAGCTGGTCTCAGAAAGCCTCAGATAAGAACAGCTGCATCCTGCAGCTGTAGGCAGGAAAATCAGGAGCGTATGGAGTTGCCTCTGCAGCCTAAGCTGGAGCACTATTCTTGCCTATTCTCCCAGTGGGTTACACAGAGCAAAGCCACCCAGTCTCCAACACAAAGGCTACTGCGAGAGGAGGGAGAGGGAGAGTGAGAGAGACAGAATGATGACAAAGGTCTCCCTGTGCTTCAGGAAGGGACTAAGATTCCTGAAGTACAAAGAATCACCCTACTACCTACAGGTCAACGACACCACCACCCATAATAAACACTGAATAGTAAACACTCAAATGCTTCCCAGGGGTCATGCACCCTCATTTCCAAAGCAACACAGACACTGCTTCTCATGTGGCCGCGAAGAAACTGAAGCAGAAAGGTCAGGTGACTTCCCGGGGTTCCCCAAAGCAATGATCCCTAAGTCAGGAATCGAGTGTGGCACCTGTCTGCATGCCCCTCCTCCAGTGCTGCCAGCCAGCATGCCTTCACCCCACCTTTGGGTTCACACCCTTAGATTATATAAATCTGCATACAGGAAGTCTCCTCCCCTTACTACACTGTGCATTTCCTTGACTGCAATGAGTTTGTCTTCCTCATCTTTGCATTGCCCAGAGTGTCTGGCATAATAGTGTACATATAATGTGTTATATAACAGATTTAAAAATAAAATCACATTTCCTTTTCTGTTTAGCGGGAAAAACTTAAACTGAGGCACTAAAGGACTGAAAGAAAGCAACTGGCAAACTAAACATCTATTTCCAGCTATCCTTCAAAGACTATGGTGAAATAATGCAATTTATTGATTTTCTAGATGGAGAACAGAATTTATTGGCAGACACCTACACTAACAAGTCTCCAGGCAAAAGAAAAACGATGCCATGTGGAAACTGAACCTGCAGGAACATACAAAAAACAACAGAAAAGATAAACATGAAGGTAAATCTGCCTAAATTTTGATACAGAAGACCTTTAAAACATGCCTTGGGGATATATCGTGTTGAAACTCATACATGGAAATAAGGCCAAATTCAAGAAAAGGAAAAATAGAACCCAAGCCTTCTCAGGTTGTGACAGTATCTGAGAAGTGCTAAAAACTCAATATTTAGAATATATCACCTAATAAGCATGCATGTTGTAATCTCCAGGGTTTCCATTATAAGTCAACGTGTAGTTAACAAGCTAATAGAGGAGGAAACATAGAATAGAAAATACTTGACCAATCCAAAAGAAGACTTGATTTTTTTAAAAAAGGAGACATAAACAGAGGGAAGAAAGAGAACAGGACAAATAGAAAACAATAAGTTGGTAGATTTATACTCAAATATGAGTAACGCACCCACACTGAAATCTTCTAAGTGACTAAACTACCAGACTAGATATAAGAAAAAACCCTTAGGTATATGCTCATTACAAGAGACGGTCTTTAAATAGAGACACAAAAAGTCCAAGTCAAAAGAAAAGAGTTGAAGGGAGGGAAGGGGAATGGGGAAAAAAAAAGCAAGATATATCATGTGCAAGTACAAATCCCCTACGATGAATATGATCATTATGTATATCTAAAATGTACCAATAAATAAAAAAAATTAAAGACAGAAAAAGAACTAACATGTAACTTGAAATGCCATGCTAGGTTTTCATTTTGTCGTTTCTTAATAGTTTTGTCAAAATCGCAGTAACTTCCAACTATGCTTCCACTCGAATGCTCATGACCCTGGAAGAAAATGTGTAATTCTGGAAGGCTGATTTCAGTTTAAATATTGACCTTAAAAGACAAAAATGCCTGAAAAAATACATCTTCAGATCTGTGATGAGGACACAGTTGACTTCGGGATGTGTTTAATTTAACAATGGCTCACCACCCACCATGGTTATGACGGGACAGGTGTTCTGGAGACGGAGTGAAAAGCCACGAAGGCAGATCCCTTGAGGGAAAAATAGCATAGGTGCCTCGGGCTCATGAACAGAAAAACACATTAACCACGTAAAAGAAAACGGTCATTTTTACACATGAAGAGCCCATTAACTCCTGGGAGCCTGTTGACCTTGCCTGGGGAGAAGTGGGCCATGTGCACCCACGCCTGGGATCAGCCACTGCTCCCTGTTGCCCACACCTGAGAAAGTGTGAGCAGAGACTGCAGGCAGGACTCCCGTACCTGGGGGGTGTCCTCCATGAGACCCCGGATTTTCTCCACCACGTCGTTGCGCCGGTGCTGACGCAGGGCGCTGATGAGCTGGGCCAGGCTGGCCTCGGGGCCACGCACCGTCCAGTGCTGCAGCGCAGCGTAGGCTCGCTCGTGGTCGGCCGTGTACCCGTTGGAGAAAGCGGCCACCTCCCTCTCGCTGGCATTGCACAGGAACTGGTAGATATCCTTCCACTGAGTCCCCACCTGGGCTGCCACCAGCTTCAGGATGTCGATCCCTGCTCGACACACGAGGAGAGAAAGAGAAACAGGAAGGCGTGAGGAGAAGCAGCTTCCCTTTTGTGCCGATCCCGACAGCCAGGTTCCCCATGAGAGCCCACTTCCGGGGCTGGGGTGTGCGCAGGGTCCAGCCCTGGTCTAGCCTGTGCCAAGCCCTGGGTTCATGCCCGGCCCTGCAAACGCAAACGAACAAAGTCAGAGTGATAATTTTAAAAATTTGCACTTCCCGATTGTGGCACCAGAAACAGATTGTTCTTGGAAGTATGATACGTCAACCCCAAAAGATATTTTGAAAGCCAAACCCAAGAAAGGAAATCAGAGTGATTCCTTTGTTACTTCTAAATACAACCACAACCAAATAAATTAGAATCCCCAAGGCTAAAGAAGTGGTGCCTTTGAGAAATATAGAGGAAATAGAAGCCATGGAGGAACACTGACTGCAGTGGACTCTGTCTCTGTAAAGAACACACAGACTCTGGGACCTGTGTACTTTACTCAGCTATCGGGGGTTTGGCCCATTGGGAGCATTCCTTAAGAACATCTAAATTCTTGACTCTAATTCTATGCTCAATAAATAATTTTCTAGGCTATTGTTCAGTTTTCCAAGCTGACTTGCATAGTTATAATGAACACAACAGTCAAAGTGACAGTATAATAATAATAGTTATCATCTTGCAGGTATTATATTAAGGCATTAGCTCACCGAACATCTTTATAAAAGTATTAACATTCCAATTGCACAGGTAAGATACACACATGCACTCGTGAACACACACACACTCAGGAAAGTTAGGCTGCTGTCCAATAGCACAAAGGTAGGTGATTTGTGTATTGAATTTAAACTCCCATAGGTATAACCATTATGAAATTCAAGGGCAAGTGCTACCAATATCTATTCATTCCCCTCTTATGCTCAGGACATGGTAGAGGCCACGAATAATACCCGACCCGATAACCTAACCCCTTTTTCACCCTGACAGGGGCTACACTTTTTTGCAGTGTGAGATGCAACAGGAAAACAACAGGAATTTTTTCCTTCTCAGCTTCACTGAAGATCCCCTCTTACCATGGATCTTAGCAACCTCAGCCTATGGGTTTTTCTTTCCTAAGTTGAGAATGATCATCTTTGCACTTGGAGAAACCACTTCCTGGCCTCTCTTTGGCACTTCTGAGCAGCCAGCATGCTGCTCCTGCATACTGGAACCATTATTAAGTTAAGTGGGTTGACATGAACAACACCCCACAGCATAGTGGGAGTCAAAAACTGACAACCTGATAACCGGGTCAGCTGCAAAGGGACCAATGGGAGGGAGCACACAGTGTGGACGCCTCAGAGGGACCAGAGCAGGGGCTGGAGACTTCAACATCCTTCTCAGAACAGCGTGAACTTGAAAACTTATGAATTGCTGATTTCTTCAATTTTCCATTTAATATTTTTGACCTCAGTTTACTATGGGTAACTGAAGTCACACACACCAGAAGTGTGGGTCAATGGTGCTCCTGTTGTCTTCTGGAAACCCTGTGTACTAGGTTTGCCAACCTGGTACTGGGTACTGGGTCCTGCAAACCTGAAACGCGCAGCAAAACACCAGGATCCAACCCCAGGTGCACAGACTCAAATGAGACCAGGCATGAGCCTTCCATTAGGTGAGGTTCCCAAGGAGCTGTCTCTGGTGTCCCCTTCCTACAGCATTTTCTCTCTGCCTGCGTCATACCTAGGTGCATGTGCAACACTCAGGAAGCGCTCTGATGCTTCACATCAGTAGGTGACAAAATCCTCTGAGCCAGTATCATGTCTTTCATGAGGCCACACTTGTGTCCCCGGACACCAGAGTTCTTGTTACTAGTATCTTAAAAATATTTACTACTAAATTTTTAAAAAAGGGTGAGGGGAATCAGGTTCCCAGTGAGATTTAGGGACGACAGGAAAAAAGAAGACTATAGAAGAGCTTACTATTATTAATTAATTGAATTTTCTATTAACTAGAGGTTAACCAGAAAAAAACTGGGAGGCTCTAATCAAGTGTTGAGAAAATGTTTATAAAATGAGCCATCCCTTCCTGCCTAAGAGCAATACTGCAGACATTCTGTGAAAATGGAGGATGGTGGTTCCTCACTGTAAATCCTTGCTTGGTTACATAATCCTCTTGAGGGGGGTACTTTGGAGAACTGTCTACACTATCTGTACACACATCCTAAACCAATCCTGTAAAAATCACTTTCAAAAACTAAGTTCCTGGCAGAAGGCTGCGTTCTCATCAACTGTAAATGTACAACACGGCAAAAAAATTTAAAACTGAATTAAAAAAAAAGAGCTCTACAAATTGAGACGTATGGTGGCCCTGGCTGTTTTCCTGGTGGTGTGTGGTGGCCTTGAACCAGCCGCTCTTCCCTGTCCACAGCGATGCTCAGTCAGATGCAGCACTTCTCCTTTGAAGCACACAAGCTCCTGAAAAACCCAAGTCCTATTTAAAACCCTGCTGGTAAGTGTAAGGAGAAACTGAGAGATTTGTGGTTTATGTGGTGGACTCTTCGAAACACCAAAAGGCTTGTTAATCCCTGAGTCTTAATTTTGACCAAGGCCCACAGTGTCTCACATGAAAATGTAACTGTTTTCTTATTAGTAGGACCATTGCTTACATCTCCATCATGCCCATGACAGTGTGGCTTTGCGCAAACCACTAGCTTTCATATCCATTTCCTCTCTGCACATTGACAACACTCAGGATGGTCCCAGGCGGTGACTGATTAACATTTGCTATAGACTTAATTTACTTTTGGAAGCCTCCTCCTTACTATCAATGCTCCATATGTCCTGAGCACTAAAAATTACGACTCCATGTATTTCAGATGCAAATGTGCAGCCTTCAGAGAGTACTTAAGAGTTTGAAGGCTTAACAACAGCTCCTTCTTCTAGAGCCAAGTATTTATACTTCTTCTTTTTTTATTTTTTGTACCGGGGATCAAACTCGGGACCTTGCGCTTGCAAGGCAGGTGGGTATTTATACTTCTTTAAAGCCACAAAATTTTTTAAAAAGTAAAGGAAGATAGAAAAACACAAAAGCCTAGGTACAATGAGATTTGCCTTCAATTCAAATGGGCTGGAAGCTAAATGTAGAACCTGAAAATAGGATTCCATTTTGCTCTCCTACCAACTCAATTGCCCACCAGTCTGCAGCGGGCAAGTCAGCTCGGAGACACAGCTCCCTCTGGAGAGAGCAGCCGTGGGCCCAGCACACTGTCACAGGCCCCTTGAGGAGTAGTATAGAGAGTCACTGAGCTGTTGCCGCCCAAGGAGAAGAAAGACTTCGGGATGTTTTCAGGAGCAGTTTGTGAGCAGCTGCAATGTTGAGCTCTGTTTGCTGGATGGAAAACCCCTGTGAAATCTGAAGGCACAAAGAGTTCATCACTAAGGAAACAAACCTGTGGAACTCTGATGGCATCTACTGTTTGTTTTTTTAGTGCCAGATAAGAAGAAACAATGCCACTATGGAAAAAAGAAGTGGGATAATTAACCAAGGAGACAGCTGTCTCTGGGACCAGGGGACTGTCACAAAAAGATTCAGACTCCTCATGAAGCCTTGCTTCCTGGGCTGGATAGTGGGAGGTGGGTCTTACTGTATTACTTTACTTGAGGTTTACCTTGTTATCCTTCTTAAAACTGTAGACCTGACCCGTACATATAAAACATACACGCAGATACCTGCCAGATTTGTAGGTTCTGTATCATAGATTCAAGCAACTGCAGATCAAAAGAAAAAGTTTTTGAACTGTTGTATTGAGCAGGTACAGACTTTTGGACATTATTCCTAAAATAATATAATACAACAACTGTTTACACAGCATTCACCTTGTAGGAGGTATGGGAAGTAATGGAGAGATGACGTAAAGCACAGGGGAAGACGTGTGGAGGTTATACACAAGTCTGTGCTGTTTTTCCTAAGGGACTTAAGCTGACTTGGACTTTGGTGCCCATAAAAGGGTCCTGGGACCATCCATGCACACAGGACGCGCGCGCACGTGTGTGTGTGTGTGTGTGTGCGCGCGCACATGTATGTTACAAATGAGTACTTCTCAGGGTTTCCTTTTATGGGTGAGGAAACTCAGGGAGAGAGGTTGGTGATAACAGAAGTGTCATCCACCCTCGGAAGAGGGAAGAGGGATGGGGAGGACGGAGCCCAGGGATGTGGGAACAGGCTGGCTGCAATAGAACGGCGCAGCCCTGGTTCCTCAGACGCGGCGCCTGAGAGATGGTGAAGGTTAGTCAGACACTGTTTTCGGATCACACTCAGCCCCGGAAGGACCGGCATGTTCCCAGGGCCTCCAGCTTGTTACCTCTGCCACCAGTTCTCATTACGTGGAACGAGAGCTGAGGGCCTGTAACTTGAGGAGATTCCCAAGGCAGCAGTTAGCGCTCCACCTCCTCCCAGGGTGGTGACTCCGCAGTTAGATCCCGGGATGGCTTCGGAACACAGACTCCTGAGATGTCCACGTGGAAAATGGAAAACTCAAGCCCAGCTTCCCTCCCATAAGCCCTCAACCACCCCCAAAGGCCCATGCTGTGTCCCCGGCCTGCAGACACAGGGCAGGAATGGACATGTGTGCGGTATGGCAGGCTAGAGTCTCAGATAGGGCCAGGCTCTGGCATCCTGGACTCCAGGTTCTACTCTGCTTAACATTCCTGTCCTCAGAGATGTGTTTCTAGTAACTTCTCCCCATGACCCACCTCTGCTTTGATGACCATTGTGCCCAGCACCCACCAAAGCCTAGTGACAAATGCCTCTGAATTAATGAATGAACCAACCAGAGCCTTCCTGTCACCCCTCCCCTCTGATCAGAGTCTCCCTGCCACCTGACATCTTGTTTGCTCACTGAGGCCCTGAGGGGCCCTGGTGGGTCCCCAATCACATCTACAGTAAGGAGAAGGAGCATCCCAGGCCCGTATGCTCACCGATGGGTGGAAGCCGTTCTTGTTCCAGTGCCCTCAACCTACAGAGAT